GAAAGACAAACATAATACTTTTCTCCAATTTTTTTTCATTATGGTGACACTCTGTTCACTTTGTGACTTTTATTTATACTATATTTTGACATAAGTGATTGTGTGTGTGTGTGTGTTTAGATAAAGGCATGAATTAGTTACAATATACTTTTTAAAATAGAAGTATTATACATTTTGTAGTTATACATTTCCAACCATTCAAAGAATAGGCCAAAATAAAAGAAAAAAGGTTAATCAGAATGATTGATGACAAAAGGTATATGAACACAAATCCAAATAACATTTTATCCACTAAACAGTAAACTTTCATTCCAAATGACTATTTTTCTACAGAGAAATGTTTACACTGGAATATCAACTGAAATATTATCCCAAGTTTCAACATGTGGTTTATTTCTCTTATTATATGAAGATCTTTGCTTTATCATTAATGATAAAAGGCTATATTAAATGGTAATAGATATTAATATAGTATGAATAGAATAATTTACTTGAAGTGTTAGAGTACAGAGAGATCTCAAGGTCAGCAGAACAGCTGGAAATTAGGGAAATCCTTAAAAAGCCAAGATAAGACCAGCTCTGCCTAAATCCTTGATGAAGTGCCACATTTCACAGGCTTAGGAGAATCCTGTACAAAACCATGCTAAAAAGCAGTGGTTTGAAGTCATAAGAACATAACAGAGATAACCAGCTTTATATCATGGATTAGTTTGCAGTTTGAATCCAGGCAAGATTATTAGAATATAATCTCAATGACCCTCAGAAAATAGGAAAACAGTGTTTCTGTAACATGTTATCTACAGTGCCCAGTTGTCTACAAAAACATTGGACATGGAATTAAACAGGAAAGATTATCCATTCCTTAGAAAAAGGTAGTCAGTAGAAACTGATGTTTAGCCCCACAAAGACTTCAAAGCAGGTTTTTATAATTATACTTAAAGAAGTAAGGGAAAATAGGTTCAAAGAATTAAAGAAAATTTGGTATCAGTGAATGGACAGGTAATCTCAGAACAGTGAAAATTATTTTTAAAAAAATCTGGAAATCTTAAAGTTGAAAAGTATAATTTCTAAAATTCATTTGGTAAGTGAACTAAAAAAGGAGTTTTCTTTTCCTCATAAAATATATCTTTATATTTGAGCTGCTGCTTGTTATTGGCCAATAAGAACAAAATGATTCTGAATAAGTAAGCATGTGTTGAGTTACATAAAATAGAGGCCTGGTTGCCTAACATAGACTTCAGAAATTTTTGAGTCTGTCATATGTAATTTTATTATATATTTATTACAAATTTTATAATATATTTTGCATTAACTTTATAATTTTTCCCCAGCATCCCAATCCAGTGTTTTTTTAAATTGGTTCTTTTTAGTTGCAACATAATGATAGAATATAACATAATTATAAAAGCATGGAATATAATTTGTTCTCATTCAGTCCCCTGTACTTTCTTTTCCCCTTTCTTTCTCCCACCCCCCAAATCCCTTCCCTCTGCTCTACTGATCTTTCTTCTGTTTACTTATAGTTTTTTTCTTTAAATTAGTATCTTGTGGATGTAAGTGATGGCAAGGTTCACTGTGGTATATTCACATATGTACATAGGAAAGTTAGGTCAGATTTATTCCACTGACTTTCCTTATCCCATTCCTTCACCCTTCCCTCATTCCCCTTTGTCTACTCCTCTGATCTTATTTCTATTCCTTTTTATTTTTAATCCTCCCCCCTTATTTTGAATTAGATTACACATATCAGAGAAAACATTTGACTTTCAACTTTTTAGTACTGGCTTATTTTACTTGGCATGATAGTCTTAAGTACCATTCATTTACCAGAAAATACCATACAGTCATTCTTCTGTTTAGCTGAGTAATACTCTATTGTGTATATATACTACATTTTCTCTATTCATTCATATGTTGTAGGGCACGTAGGTTAGCTCCATAGCTTAGTTATCGTGAATTGTGCTGTTATAAACATTGTGTGGCTGCTTCACTATAATATGCTGATTTAAAATCCTTTGGGCATATACTGAGGAGTGGGATAACTGGGTCAAATGGTGGTTCCAGTCCAAGTTTTCTAAGGAATCTCCATACTGCTTTCCATAGTAGTTTCATCATTTTGCAATCCCACCAGCAATGTATGAGTGCACCCTTTTCTTCACATCCTTACCAACACTTACTGTTACTTGTATTCTTAATAATTGGCATTCTGACTGTAGTGAGATGAAATCTTAGTTTTAATTTGCATTTCTCTAATTGCTAGTGATATTGAATTTTTTTATATATTCATTGGCCATTTGTATTTCTTCTTTTTAGAAGTATCTGTTTAGTTCCTTTGTCCATTTATTGATTAGGTTATATTTTTGTTTTGTTTTGATTTTTTTCCTGTTTTGTCTGTTTTTGTGTTAAATATTTTGAGCTCTTTCTATATCCTGGTTATTAATGCCTTGAGGAGCAGGTGGCAAAGATATTCTCCCATTCTATAGGCTCTTTCTTCATATTCCTGATAATTTTATATGCTATGAGAAAGCTTTTTAATTTGGTAACATCCCATTTATTGATTTTTAATTTTACTTCTTATGCTTAAAGAGTCTTTAAGGAAGCCCGTTCCTGAGCCGACACATTGGAATTTTTGGCCTACATTTTCTTCTACCATTCATAGGGCTTCTGCTCAATTCCTAGGTCTTTGATCCACTTTGAGTCAGTTTTGTGTGGGATTGAGAGATAGGGGTTAAATTTCATTCCACTACATATAGATGTCCACTTTTCCCAGCACTATTTATTAAGAAGACTGTCTTTTCTTCAGCAAGAACAACAACAAAAAACAGCTTGAAAATATCAGAAGACCCAGTAGAAACAGGTGTGTTCTAATAACAAAAAGATTGCTGAAAAACAGGTAGATCCTAAGAGAACTGTGAAGTAGTCTAATATACATATATGTGCATTTCTAAAAATATAGGTGAGAATGAGGCATAAAAATATTTGATGAAACAGTGGCTTAACACTTACCATATTCAGTGAATAACATTAACTTACAGATCCAAGAAACTTATAGAACACCAATAAGGATGAACATGAAGAAAATCATTTCTAGGCATATCCTAGTCCACTGTTAAGATAAACAGAAAAATGTTAAAGTCAGAGGAAAATACTACTTATTACTTATACTTCAAAAGAACAACTGATAATATTTGTTCCTGGTGTTAAAATTTGAGCTCTTAAGGGGGAAAAAAGGAGTTTTGGAAAACTTACATTCAGCAATATAATATGTGGTTTTGGAAAACTTGTAATCACCAAAAACTTCCTAGTACTTCAGAAGCCTTTAAAATGACTTTTGTGGTACTAGCAAATTGATTTTTTAAAAAAGTTGTTAACATTTAATGAAATATGTCAACATTTAGAGATCTATATAAAAAGGATCTGTATAATTCTACCCAGAATTTTACAAGACCAGTGCTTGATTCTGAAAATTATACACTGATTTAAAAAAATCCATTCAAAGTACAAAGTAAGCCCATAGAGTTTAGTGTAACATAGTACAAAAAGTTAATGGGTGTGCTTTCTGATGTCACATTGTAACTACTGTGGAAGAAACTACTCTCTAGGGTTTGTCATGGTATCAAAAAAGAATAATCACAGTTATCTGAACAACTTCTCCCTTTCCCAACTACCCATGAAAGGACAGATTTTATTCTTATACCTCAACCAGAATAACATTGCAAAAATTGAGTGCAGAAACAGATTTGAGAATGCAGCTTTTTTCTTTTAAGTCAGATGTTAGAGACTTGAAAAAACATAAGTTGGTATTCTTTAGTTTTAAAAATTACAGCCTTTCTTTCATAAAAAATATGCTTTTTATGTCAACATGTAGTAGGTTTATTGTTAAATGAATTTATAATTTTTTTTTAACTCTATTAGTTCTAATTTCTAACACAGTAAAAGTCAATAGATATTCTTCATTCTAATAAAAGCTCTTTGGGATCCCCCAGTTTTTTTTTTGTTTTGTTTTGTTTTGTTTTGTTTTGTTAAGTTTTAAAGGTATACTGAGACTAAAAAAATTGAGAACTGTTTTGAGCCTGTTCTGCCTCTACCTTCAGACAGCACATTCCTTGACAAGCAGCAGACTGGAAAATTGGAAATACCTTGTAACCCAGAGATTAGTGTTCTTGAGTATATGATAACTTTCAATTTTTGTTGGTATCATTATTTTCAAGTAAATGGTACAGCATGCAGTAGGTGTGCTGCCTACTGCTTCCAATGGCAATCTTCTCTTGTCTTTCCTTCTGATACTTGCTTCTAGACTTTTTACTTTTACCAGGGAACTTTATCAGGAAAGCAGATAAGGACTTTTGAAGTAAAGAAAAAAAAAAAAAGTCCTTACTTTTTTTCCCTCCTTTTGTTACATTTAGGGGTTATCAAAGGAGAGCTGTTAAAGTATTAGAGGACTTCTGTAGTGGCCTGCATGGTTGATTGCTGTACTGTATTTCTCTCTCTTTCCCAGTATTCTTGATGGCTTTGTACTTGGATTTGAATTTAGAATATCCCTTATTATAAATAAGCTTGTTGCAGATCCAGTTGTATATTAAGACAAACTATTGTCATAAAATCAGACAAATGTTACTGTACTCTGACTTCTAGCCCTCGATGTTTTCACCTAATGTTTTTAATGCTTAAATGTGTTTGGATGGAAGGACTAAAACCAAGTTTTATTTCCTTGATATCTGAGAGGCTTGCAAGTAATAGGATTGATCATTTTCCCTTGTGTTAAGTTCAAAGAACTTTATGATATACTTTTTGAATCTTATTTTATTTTTGAAATGATAAAGATTTTCTATGAGTTTGCAAATGTCCATAGTTCTGAAAGTCATAGAAAGCCTTTACCAGAAAAGAACACTTCTAATTTGAAGCTGTCAATTAGAAGGGTATCTGTTTGGGTCTAGAAATAAAACCTGATTACCTACCAATTGACTTCTTGAATTACAATTTTCCTTGTGTTTTCTTAGGCCAAAGAGGAAGAGGAAGCTTTTCTGGATTGGAGTGATGATGATGATGATGGATTTGATCCGAGCACACTTCCAGATCCAGATAAATACAGAAGCTCTGAAGAATCAGATAGTGAAGACATGGAAAATAAAATTAGGTATGCTTTTACCACTGGTATTATTAAGTTTGTACTTAATACTCACATGAATCTTCTCCTTTTAATGAATCCCAAAGACATTTTTTAAAATATTATTCCAAAAAATTTTTTACTTCTAACATCCTGAAAACCCTGCTGGTGTATTAGATCACTAATACAAATATCTCAGACCTTTCTAGTCATTTTAGAAAGGATTTTTAAAAAATTATTTCCGTAATTCCTGCTAACAGGTAAAGGTGTGATGTAAATTGTTTTCTTTTTCTTTCTGTATTCTTTTTCTCTCATCTCTTCCTGAATCTTTTATGCTTAACTCTTTGATGAATTAGAGTAAGTACAAACAGAGGGGGATTTTATTTTGACTCACTATCAAAGGATTCTGTTGAGAGTTCTATTAAAAATTGCCTTTGAATTTCATTTGGGGTAGTGGATACTGAGAATTAAACTCAGAGACACTCAACCACTGAGCCACATCCCCAGCCCTATTTTATATTTTGTTTAGAGACAGGGTCTCACTTAGTTGCTTAGTGCCTTGCTTTTGCTTAGGCTAGGTTTGAGCTCGTGATCCTTCTGTCTCAGCCTCTGAGTCACTGGGATTATAGGCATGTACCACCTAGCTGGCCTGCCTTTGAATTTCAAAAGAGCAATTATATTTTCACATTTAATAACAAATAAGATATTAGAAAACAATATAAATAACCCTTGACAGTTTTCTTTCAATTTAAAATCTATTCATTTGGTGTCATCTATTTACCACCATGCCAAAAATAAGTGTGATGAATTGAATAAAGCTTTTACTTATTCAGCATTTTTTTTTAGAGTACTGGGTATTAGATTAAATTAAGATTATATTGATTTAAAAGTTAAGAATGCTAGACTTCATAAACATTTTAAATCATTGAGCAGGAGGAGTTAAGAACTAGTGGCAGATAAAGTTAATAGGCTTGAAATAAAGTTGAAGCTTGATGGAACCCCTGAAGTGCTGGCCAAAGGAGTTTGGAATTGCACAAATAGGCCATAGAGAGTTACAATTTGTTCTTAAACAGGAGCAGATCTGCAAAAGATTATCCTCTAAGGAGAAAATGCTGTGTGGAGACCTTGAGTTACTCTTCATTTAAATCTTGTGCTCATTTAGACACAGAATTATTTGGTAATAGGGAAAATTCACATGTCCAAAACTCAGTTGTACCAACTAATGCCAGAAACTTGAGGTACGTGCTATTAGACTACTGGGGAGTGAAATACTAGACAATGCAATACTAACTTTACTTCCACAAAAGGCACCATAGGTAAAGATAATCTTATTAGGATTTAACAAAATATACAAATGTTTATGCCATTTAGAGTTATTTAGGTTCAGGTCTTATTCTTAATTCTTAAAAACTGACTTTTAAAAAAGAAAGTACACATATGTAGCTTCAGAAAGTTCCTTTTTGCATGTGTCTGAGATCTAGGTAAACTGGATGGTCCATTTTACTACCCCTTATTTTATATATATATATTTGTTGTTTTGTTGTTGTTGTTCCTCTTTCAGAGTGGTTTATAGGCTCTCTATTTTAATACATGTGTTTTGACTTACTGCATGACTTTAAACCATTAACTTCCAGATGTTTCTGTTTGACTCTCTGGAGGGATGTTAATTGGTTCTTACAATTTGTTCTGTAGCCATATTTTGCATATCCAATATACCTTTAAAAGATAGAACCCATCTTAGAAGCAGGTTGTTGGCAATCCTGCATGTGATTTGAACAGGTTTTTTCCTTAATATTTTTATGAGAGTTTCTGGGGTCATCCTTCATTTGTGTTGTACAGACATTCCATTTCATATTTGTCTTTTTTTATCATCATAATGACACTTCTCTATTATACCTACTTAATATAACTAGTTCTCTTATAATTTCACATGCTGCATCCTCTTAATTAGCCTGAAAATGTTTTATAGCTTGAAATTCTATCTTTATTTTTTATCAACACTTAGAATTGAGCCCCTATTTCCATCCTCAGTATTAGCATCACAAGTACAGAGAAGACCCTGAAATATTTGAATTGATTCATTGATATTTGGAGACTTATAGGGTTAAAATATATAATTATAATTATGTAATTGGTCCCAATGGTTTGATGATGGACAGAGTACAGATGGTTGGCAGGTTGGGAAAAGCCACGGTTGGGTAAGTGTAATGGACAAACAGGGAGGTAGGGTACCCTGAAAGATGCCAAAGCATCTTATTGTAAAGACAACAATTCAAATGGAAAATAGTCAAGCATTATATGAAAATTAAAACAGTTGTAGTTTAAGGCACACCTAGTAAAAAGATTAAAATTGGTCAACTTGTCTCAAGCTAAAGACACATTCTTTTTTTGAGAATATCAACCAGGGCTTTATTATTAACATGAGGGTATTATTCCTTAAGTATATTCAATACTTTTTATGTATGAGCACAGTTTATCTAGTTCAGTTCCCTCTTCCTACAAATGAAGAAACCAAAGCTTTAAGGGATAAAATAATATATGTCCACGATCACAGTAAAAATCAGGGACAGATTTGTGTGATTTGCATAAATGAAATTGATTTCTTAGTTTTACTACCACAATCAGGTTATCCTGGGTTTCTCCAACTTTAGGAGAGGTAGGTAAGGAAAACTGCCTAAAGACAAATTTATTTATTTGACTAAAGACCTGGATCCATTTACAAACTAGAGGGTAGATTTGACTAAGCCATGGTTTTCCACTGTGTTAAGCAGTTACATTGCTGTGATAAAATATCTGAGTTAAACAATTTATGAGGAAGAAAGATTTGCCTCACGGGTTTCAGAGATTTTAATCCATGGTCTCTGGCCCTGATTGCTTTTAGGCCTATGGAGAAGCAATACATCATGGAAGAGAAAAGCTGCTCACCTCATGTTGACCAGAAAACAGAGAGGAAGGGGCTGTGGACAAATTATATGCTTTAAGAGCATGCCTCCAATTACCTACTTCTATCAACTAGGCCCTAGTTCCTAAAGTTTCCACCACCTCCTAATAGCCTATTAAACTCTTAGTCCATCAGTGGATTAATCCAGTGATGAGGTCAGAACCCTTATGATCTAGTCACTCCCACAAGGCCTGACCTCGGAACATGCTAAATTTGGGACAGAACCTTCAACACAGGAACTTTTAGGGGATATTCCAGATCCAAACTATAATATTGCCTTTAGGATTATTGACATTCTGGTCCAGAAAATACTATATTTAGGGAAAGGGGAGGCTATAGGCTATTTAGTATTGTCCCTGGCCACTGACAGTACCAGATTCCCTCTCCCCATCCCCTGGTTCAGATAACTAAAAATGTCTTTAGACATCACCAGGCATACTTTGGGGAAGCAAAATTGCCCACAGTTGAGAACTAGGAGACTAGATTTTAGTGCAAGTAGTCCTCCTCAGCACAGCTTCTATCAGTCAGGTGGAACTGGTACAAAAGATAAAACCTGTTTGTCATTCCAACACTAGAAGGCAGGATTTATGGTAAGCTACAAGTAGTGGTCTACATGTACAGTTTCTTTTCATACGCTGATATTCATCCCCCTTCCCCCCTTTTTTGGTATCAGGGATTGAACTCGGGGGTACTAAATCACTGAGCCACATACCCTTTTTATTTTTGAGACAGAGTCTTGCTGATTTGCATAGAGTTTCACTAAATTGTTGAGGCTGGTTTTGAACTTGCAATCCTGCCTCAGCCTCCTGAGCCACTGGAATAACAGGCCACTATACTCAGCTCTTCCTTTTTCTTTAAATTACCTCATTGGCAATGAATTAAAATGTATGTAAACAAAAAACAAAAATTGCTTTGGATGAAGAAAAAGTATTTACAAGGATATATACTGTAGAATTTTAAAAAAATTTAGTTGTTGATAGACCTTTATTTTATTTATTTATTCATATGCAGTGCTGAGAATTGAACCCAGTGTCTCACACATGCTAGGCAAACACTCTACTACTGAGCTTCAATCCCAGACCCTACACTATAGAATTTTGACAGTAATAATTGCTGCTGCAACTGCAATTTACAATAATAACATGAGTACAATTTTCCAGTGTTGTTTCAGTTGACTACCTCTTCTTTTTCTCTGCTTCTCAAAAAAAGGATGGTGTGCTAAGATTTTTGTGATGTCATCTTTAGAGGAGCTTCATAACATTTTCACAGGCTTATTTGCTTTGCTCTTTCTAGCTTCCACTCAGTAATTGTTTCAGCAGCTCATGCTTCTGCCTTGGTCATCATTGTTCTCCCAGGAGGTTATTCTCTGTATATAAACTTGGTGTTTTCAGAGATGAGTTCATTCTTATGAGACTAGACACAACAATTAGAAAATGCCAGCATGAAGTAGTTTCATTTAAATTTCCTCTGGAATTTCTTTTTCCCTCACTTTGCTGACACTCATAAATATTCAGCATGAGTGGCACTTTTGTCTCTACATGGAGAGATACTTTGTCAGTAGGAAATAGGCAATGGAGAGCCAGATTTAGTGGAGAATGGCTGAATCTGGGGTCATAGTTCCTCCTTAGGGAGGTCTGACAGGATTTTTAAAAGTTCGTATTTCTACCTTCCTTCTCAGCTCAGTGCACATCTGTAGTAGAATTTAAAATACCCTCAGCCCTCTGTGGAATTATCAAAATTTCTGTCTCTAGCACTAAGATTCCAAAGGGATTTCGATGTATGAGATTTAAGTTAGTATGACTAAAAAGAAACCTTTGCTTAATATGTGGTCCCAGCAAATAGGAAAATAATGACCTTGAGTTCCTTTTAAGGAGATATAAGAAAGTTGCCATGAATCTATTTATCCTCAAAAACAGAATTATGAACTGGGAAGGCTGGTAATCTACCCTTAGTACAGGAGGAGTTGGGACCTGTACTAAATTCAGGTATCTGAATTTCATCTGAGGCTTTGGTGTGCTTCTTTTGACAACAGGTATAGAAAGAAGAGCTTGCTTTGTTCTCTGATTTCTTTCTTCTTTTTTTTGGGGGG